ATGAAAAAACGGTGGAGTATCCCTTTAAACGCTGCTCCATCTGAAAGCACTGTGAGTTTGAGTCACTTATAGTGTGCATTTGATAAAGCAACACACGTCAAACATCTTTTAAACATGAGAATCATTTATGAAACTCCTGTCCAACAAAAGACAACATTTAATAACATGCTTTACTCCAAACTCACTTCATAACGACAGTTGAGCATCCTTCTGTTAGATGATGTGGCTTCTTGCACAGAATAAGGCAGTCGTGTAATTATAAGTCATGTTTAATCAACAATCAAAGTGTTTAAATCTTCTGTTTATTCAGCTACAGCGATGATGCCCGATAGGGATTTCCTGGGGTCATATTTGGCGTGTCTGCGTGAGAGCGCCCTCTGGTGTTCAGATGAAGCAGCATTTACTACCGATCAGCCGCACTGCACTGATAAGCTGCGCATAAAAAAAATCGCGTTGCGGTTTCGTTGCAATTAATCGTGCAGCCCTAGTCTGGATGCTGAATTCCAGCCTGCTTACTAGAAAAGGATTTTCAGAAGAGCTGTTATTATTAAAAACAAAGCAACCCGTACTGTGGCTTTAATGTCAGATTTATCATTGTTAGTGTGTTTGATATACAGTATTAAATCATTTTTAGAGTTACTGTAATGTCTAGCCTATAACGTTTTCTCATATTTATCTACTTTTATTTTGCAGTGGCTTTAAAGTTAATTGTTGAATTGGTGTAATTCGGATACATTACTATGATCTTTGTGTAATGACTATTATTCCACTTATACTGTGAAGTTTCAAGCAAGGGATTTACAAGGCATTACATGAAGGATGCACCGATATAAACATTTTGGCCGATATGGATAATCCTATATATTTGTAAGTAGTGGTCGACCGATATATCATCACGGCCGATATTTGGCCTTTTTTTAAATATCGGCATCGGCTGATACGTTTTTCTGATTGGCCGATGTGTTGGAAGCGGGACTTTTATTTTGACGGCACAGCGCTCTCACATTCTCCGTCTTCATTAGTTTACGATCTCTGTCAGTCATATTTAATACTTTGTTAGACAGAACTGGTAAACAAAGAAAGTAAATGGTTTGGGAAAAGGAAAGTGTTTGCTTTTATATTATTTGTAACCGAAAAGACAAACAATCAGGCTAAAATACTTTCTCATTTACCGTCAACATTCAGCAAATGCGCATCTACATCATTTAAACTAATATCTAATAAAAATGTTATTTCACAAACCTTGCAGATTTAATCGAATCCAGCTGTGATATCTTGTGAAGTGTGCATTTGTAGCCTGCATAAACGCGTTACTGCGAGTGACGGTCGGTCCGTGCGAAGTGAGTGAATGCGAACAGAAGATCAGCTTCACAGGAGACGCGATCGAAAAACTTTAAATCCTTCATTTTAAAATATGCTGTGCTATATCCAGTTGCCCACTGTGTCATATTCTTATCGTTTTCACTGTGTGCTGTATGTAAAATTAGGTTACCTTGTCTTTATTAGAAAAAATATGATTACCAGTGCGCACAAAATTACCAGATTACTGAGTGCCGTTATAGTGTTTACTTCCTTTTTATTCATATATTTTTAAACCATTACTTTATTTGTGAAAAATACTGTAATAGGATTGCAGATTCAAGAAGTTGCCATCTAAAGTATAAGCATGTTTATTTTAAAGATTTTTTTGTCTAATTTATAATTGATTAAATATTAATTAAAAAGAAATTGTGTGTGTGTATATATATATATATATATATCGGCCACCCTGCTCTCTAAGATGTCGGCATCGGCCATCAAAAAAAAAGATATCGGTCGACAAATATTTGTAAGCCGGTAACCGATATATTGGCCAATAAATCTAAAACCAAATGTTGATAATTTTTTGAAAACCAAAAACAACAGACTCCCCATTAAAAGCAATGTCCCAAGCACACACTTATAATATTCTCATTATAATTTTATGTAGCCTATGTGACAGACTCGAACTGCACATGTTGCACTTAACTGTATTTTGCTTTTTTGAAGTGTTTCAAATCATATTTCGAGCAATTAAAAACCATCATGGTGAACATCTGAAGTGTCTCAGCTGAAGGAAATAATCCATTATTTATCGGCTTCAATATATCTGCTAAATTTGTATATTGGGCCGATAACAATAACGACTGACCAATGAACGTATATCGATATGGTACCGATATATCATGCATCCCTAAAAAACATATTAATTATTGTATTGCTGCTGCTTTTTAAATATTGCATCACTTTTTTTCTTCTCTTTGCTGTCATGTCATCTACACCTTGCCCTTGTCAAATATGTCTGGGAAGCAAGATCTGATTAAGATCTTTTTGATTACCATAGGGATTTTTTCTTTTTTTTTGCCCAGTAAAACAAATGGTGTGACTGTGAATACAAAGCAGTTGCTTATAAAACCTTTATCTATATTTATAAATAGTAGGGGTGTAACGATATTTGAACCGAACCGAAAAACCGCGATACACCACCCACGATACGTATCGCGATACTCTCATGGCGAACCGAACACGCCCCGCCCCCTGCTGCCCCGCCCAGCACCGGCTCATTGCACCTCATGTGTTATGTGTACACAACGAATACAGGGCTGTTGCCTAACCACCATTAACCACATATAATCGCAATAAGCTCAGTGTTTTGTTACTTTTGATAATAAGCAAGGTGTAATCTTTCAAATTATGTCTATTTGATCACGAAATGCAAACAATAAATGCCGTTTTGGCGCTCTTAGATGTGGCGTGACAGATATCACTGTATGCATGCGGCAGCGCGGAGCGCGATCATCTCTTCCTCAGTTACAGAATAAACATGAATGGACACCCGAAGGTATGTTGAAAGATTCAGTATACTTACTGAAAGGCATCATAACTCGTGTAAACACTCAATCAGTGTTTCAACAACGGAAATACGTCAATAAAACGCTTAGTTTTTCACATAGCTTTATATTTACCTCAGGCAAGTCATTCAGTGTCCACAGCTTGCTGGTTTGCTAACTCTTTCACTAAATAAATGCTATATATTAGCCTATATATAATATTTTACTTAACCTGTTTATGATATCTTGATTATTTAATGTATGTTTAAAATAGTTGTCATGAAAATAACAGCAACTGTGTAAATTATTATATAACAATAACAAATTAGAGTAAAAACATGTTAATGCAAAAATTGCCTTATGTGCAGTTTACATGTTTTCATACAATTTGTTATTTGAGTGTTGATTATTATCATTTAGCCTAAAAGTCTAGGCTCTGTTGTTAAGCTTTAATGTAGTAATGTGCAAGTAAGGGCTGTAGTTTACAGCATTAGCAGATAATTTTGTTATCCTTGAGAAACGTTTACTTGTAATTGAATTAATTTAAAGACAAGGACACAATTTGTTCATTAAAGCACTGTTTAATAAAAAATAAAAGCAATTTTAGCTTTCTAAACCCCCCCACCCCACCCCACCGAAATAAGCCGAACCGAACCGAGACCTCAAAACCGTGGGACGAACCGAACCGTCAGGTTTGTGTATCGTTACACCCCTAATAAATAGTGACTTTTATTATTACAAAAATTTAAATCATATTCATGTAGGGTTCTGATTTTGATTTTAATTTAAATCATATTCATGTAGGGTTCTGATTTTTTTTTTTTTTTTCTGTCATTTGTGATTATTTGAGAACCTGTATTTGTAGTTTTTAAATGCACATTGGAAGAGGCTGTAAACTCAGACCTCTTTACAGTGTTTGTCCATATTACCATATCATAGCTCAATGCCATTTGTGAATGGTCACACTTAAGTGTTTTTGTTGTCTTCAGGTACCTGAAGTATCTCACAAAGAAGTACCTCAAGAAGAACAACCTGCGTGACTGGCTGCGTGTAGTAGCGAACACCAAGGAGAGCTATGAACTGCGCTACTTCCAGATAAATCAGGATGAGGAGGAGGAAGACGATGAAGATTAAATAATTCCATACCACTCTTTTGTAAATTCAATAAATTTTCAAAAGAAATCTGTTTCTTTGTGTCTGGTGTGCTCATTTCAGTATGTTCAAAACATTGTGTCGTTTGCTCTGAGGGTGCAAAAGTGCTGGCAAAATCCATTTGATTTATAATTATGCATTTTCTTTCTATTTTTAGAGCAACAGAAGTCTGTTCCATTTAAGCATATAGGACTCTTACCACCAGTCAGACAGGACCAATAATTTCCATAGCAACTGAAGTTTGTGCACTCACAGGGTTCATAGAGTTAATTTATCAGGGAACATCTTAAACCGGCATGAAATGGTTGATAGATTTAGCTGATATCCCAAGCTTGTGCTCAACTCTTCGGACCAGCTGAAAAGTATCTAAAACCACACTAGACGGGGAGACCAGCAAACCAGCTTAGTTTGGTTTATGCTGGGTTCTACTCCCACCCACCTGCCTTATAATGGTATATGGTTTTTAATTGTTCTTGATTGGTGCAGGCAGCGTGTTCTCGACATTATTTTTAATGTCTTGCTTTATTATGTAGAGCGTCTGGCAGCAGTATCCTTGGCAACGGCTCATGATTCACGGATTGTCCTGAAGGAGGTACACAAGAATAAGATAAATTGGATGTTTATTTGCTTTAAAAAAAATAATTTCGTTTAAATGACAGAAACCTGGGAATGTTTTGTTCACCCAAAATGCGAAAGCAGAATGACAGCATCAGTCATCACCATTCACATTTATAGAATTGCAAGAAGATGCATTGAAAGCGAATGGTGACCGAGACTGCGAGATCCCCCCCCCCCCCCCCCCCCCCCCCTTTCTTTTTGAGTGAACCGTCCCTTTAAAACGTCAATAAACTCCGGCGTCAGATATTCAGCTGTGACCTTGAATGTATAATTTGTTCGACCTAAATTTGTAAAATAAAAAAAGCAGGACAACTATTTTTCCCCCCAGCTCTTATTATGCGTTTCCCTCGCCTGACTGAAAAGGGATTGTGAGGGAACTTTCTCCCGTGTCTCCCTGTATAACCTCGCATTCCTCGAACTTGAGCGGGAAAAGGGCAATGCCAGCGCGAGACGGTCGCACGCGCCGCCGCCGCCACTCTCAGTACTAGTTAAGCCGGTGACCAGCAGAACAGCACTAACTAGTTGTGTCGGGGAAATTATGGGATGGATTTCCATGGCAACCGACCAGACGTCACAATCTGGGCATGTGTGTTCCATTTTTGTCTCTTTCTTATTTTCAGACTGGAGGATTTGGATAGAGAAGAGGGAGAAAGGGAAAGATGTTTTAAAACAGGGCAGCCATCTTTTATTTTTATTGAGAGCATATTAAAAGAACATTTTTACCTCACCTTTAGTAGACGTCTCCTCTGAATCTGAAAATCTGGGCATTGAGAGGGTTAAGTTTCAGGACTTTATCCCTGTATCTCGGATGTGATTTTCTTGTTATGCGGTAAAGATGCCCGGATCGCTAAGCAATGAAGATGAGGGGCAAGACGATGTGGATTTTGAGGACGACGTGCCAGGTGAGGGGGTAAAGAGTCACAGGGGAGGGAGAGTTCTGCCCTTCACAAACTGCGCTGCTACGCCTAGTTGAATGCGGAGGAAAAGGGGCTTGACGCGCGTGCGATTTATTATAGTCTCAGTAGCTTCTGTTCTCACACCGGACACTGTTCGTCCAAAAATAACGGTACACTGTCCGCCTGTATTTGAGTCATTAAAGCGCGACTGTCCGCCAGCAGACCATCAGTCTGCGATTCTCATTTCTCAGCTATGTTCGTATTCCACCATCCGGCGGTTTGTTTTTACAGGCGCATTTGTCTTTGCATATAAATGAGTTATGCATGCACCCACTGTCTTTTTTTCTTTCCAGTCAGGCTGCTCTGATATTGCACCCACTGTGCACAATGATATTTTAACCTGATGGACTGTTTTAATATAAAGTCTAATGCATGGCATGCTGCAGACATATTGTAAAAATAGTATGCAAGACCGAGCTGATTGTGATTTATGCATCGTTTAGAGCTGATCTAAACACAAAAAAGGGAGCATCATCAGTTTCCCAAAAAGGTGTTATGGCATTCCTCCGAGGAATATTTAAGGGCTGATGGTGACAAAGCTTCTCTGTGGTCACACTGTCTTGTAAAAGTAGTGCATGTGCTTGACAGAGCCACGTGTGACAGGAAAACTTCAGCTACAATGATCCTCTGCCTCTGTGGTCTATTTGACACAGACTTGAGCCAAGACAGTCCACAGTATCTTATAAGAGTTTGTTTTCTACACTGTAAAAACGTTACTGTAAAAATACAGTGGGGATTTTATATTTTGCAATTGGATTATATAATGAAACAAACCTATTTGATGTATTATTAATCTGTTTGCTACTGTAAAATGCACTGATAATGATAGGCTACAGTTCATCAAAATTGGAATTACAGTGTAGACGTGTGGTGTTGCCTGAAAGAGGGGTATTTGCTTAATCTGAATGAATGCATGTAACAGATTTTTTGTGTGCAAAAGCTGCTTTACATAAAATTGTTCTTCTTATTGTTGTTATTCTTCACGTTGATGCTGGGTATTTGGTTCTCTGGTAATATTCAAGGTTAACTCCAAAGCCAATCTTATCCATGGGTTCATCACTGCTGTTGACAATCTCTGTTTGACTGTATTCTTATGATGTCACACTGTCTGTTTATGCTTCCAGTGTAGGCGTGCATCTTATTTAAAAAAAGACTCATCAATCTTGTTTTTTGCGATAGATTGGTCTCAAAAGCCATAGATTGTGAGAGTGTGGTTCTCAGTGGTGTGATCGAGAAGCCGTGTAGTAAAGACACAGTTCTGCCTGCATGCCTGCCTTTTATACATTCATGGCCCTCAGTTCAATAAAATCAATACATTTATAGTTTTTCGCTCACAGCTCGGTCTAGGCTGCCTCTGAATTAGTCACAAATTAATCACGTGACCGACCTGAGCACGACTATCTCATTTGCACCCCAATCGCGTATTTACCTTGTTTTTTGTTTTTGTTTTTTTTGCTAGGCGGCAACATGCCAGAGATGAAGCTGCTGCGGGCTGCAAATGGTTTGAAATAATGTGCAGTATGCAGAAGAATTAATAATTGAGAAATAATTTATGAGCCAGCATGCTCTTTCCGTGTAGACAGTAAGCCCCCGCATGTGCTAAAAATGAGAAATCTATGCAGTGCAGGACTAGCCAGGATTTTGGGTTATGCTGTTTAGTCCCATTCACTGTGATTGCTTTCATTGTGCAGGCCAGAACACGTTCACTGGTTCCTATTCTGAGGTGGCTGGTGAATTTTTGGTGAGATTCTTAAATACAACTTGAATTTAGCTAATATTTAAGATGTGAAATGAGCTTTTTAATGTATTAGTTGCAAACCACTGCATAATACTTCCTGTACAATGCGATTACATTCAAACAATTCATCTCTAGCTTTTCCGCAAAGAACCGTAAAGCATATTTTTCTTTATTTTGAATTCATTTC